GCATTGTGGCTCTATCGACTCCTAGCACTTCAGAGTCCCCTCCTCCCAATTTTCGGAGGGGAAAGATGCAGTGGAGAATTCATACCAACTTTGTAAATGCCTGAGCTCCAAAACTGACATGTTTCTGCTATAAGTTAGCCCCATAAGTTAGAAACTACTTATAAGGCTGTACCTGAATGCAAGGGAGCCCGGGAAATGTAGTCTTTGGTTAGACAACCAACTTCCAGTATCAACTCCACATTTATAATGAAAGAGCAAGAATTTTTGGTGGACAAATGGGCTCTCCAGTCACTTATGCTCTCTAAATTTCCATTTCTTCATCTACAAAACTACAAGTAACATTATTACTTCAGTAGATACTTAGAAATCTTACTTAAATGAGTGAAAGAAAAATGTTTAGGAAGTACCAGATACAGAACAGATGCTCATCAAATATGACCTTCCTCCCCAGCTTTTTTTTTTTTAACTAGTAGAAATGAGATCTGTCTGAAGGTGTTGGTCATAGAACACCTATATCTTCTCTTGCCTTAGTTAACTTCCTCTGCTCTTCACATCTTCCTTTTTCCCTATTTCTACCCTTTTCTGTTTCCCCTCCCTTTTTTTCTCTTCCTCAACTTTGTGGTATCTTTATATCTCTTGGGACTCCTCACATTTCCCCCATAAGCATCTTCTTTCCATTCAATGACCCAGGCTATGAAATGGATTAACTGCCACTCAGAGCCAGCCCCTCCATTAGCAAGAGGAACAGATGCCAGCTCTCTAGACATGTCACCAGGTAGCACTCCATCTTTCCTTTTTCAGCTACAAAAGGCGAGCCAGACAGTTCCTGACCTCAATAGAATGCATCCCCACAAAACCTGCCAGAGGCGAGTTCCATGCCAGCCCTTCCCAGCTTGCCCAGAGGATAGTAACAGGTGATAAATGAACAGGAATCAAAAACATTCCAACGACTCTGAGTTAAGCAGCAGCTTTCTTTCCTGCTTCTCTGATTTTAGCACTGCCAATATGCTAATGAACAGCATACATCTCTCAGCGGGGCAATGATCCATCATTCGTCATTTCCCAAACTTGTTTGGTGGTAAAACTTTCTGTTGAGCATCTCCTGGGGCTGTATGTAATAGAATGCTCTTTAGAAATTGCAGCTTCATAACAAAAATCAAAGAACAGAACACATATCTATTTGGCTATGTAGGGGCAGGCTAACTAGGACATTTAGCCAGTAATTTGTCTTTTTTTTAATATGAACTCCCCCTCTTAAGACAGTACTATTATTAGGTGGCCTTTCAGGTTACGTTGTGTAACTTAAATATCAGAAAGATTCAAGAATGATGGTGAGGCCGAAATCTGAAAATGGATGTTTTTCCTTCACTCATTAAATATTTATCAAGTTCCTGTGCCAGACATTTCTTTACACAGAGACTAATCTTTTTCGTTTGTTTATTTCTTTGTTTTAACCTCATTTGCTAGCTTATGAATACAGACCATTTAGTTTAGACAAGTGTTTTTCAACCAGGGTGATTCTGCCCCCCAGGGGACATTTAGCAATGTCTGGAGACCTATTTTGTTGTCACAGATGAGGAGGGTGCAGTTGGCATCTAGAGTTAGAAGCCTGGGATATTGCTAAACATGCTATAATGCACATGACAGCCCCTCACAACAACGAATTATCTAGCCCAAATTGTCAATAATAGTGAGATTCAGAAACCCTGACTCAGAAAAAAATCAGTTTTGAAAACTAGCACAAGTATATGAGCCTACGAGAGTTAGTTAGGTGACGAAAATGGCTAACTGGACATACTCGGCCCTGTCTCAAAGGGGAAACAGTTGCTTAACCCAGCCGATAGTTGCTACCGGGGAACCACGATGCCGTGTACCCAAGTGCCCAGCTCTTCCCATTTTTCAAGCCAGAAATTCAAATTCGAATGTGAAAATACTCATCTTTTAAATGCTGGCGACTAATCTGAGTATTTTTTAACGCTTTGCCAAACAAAATGCATCTGGAAATGTGATGTAGACTGGCCACAAGTTTGCAACCTCCCCGAACACTAAGGGTGCCTTCCTAGCACTGAGCTCGCCACTGCTGGGTATGTTAGGCAACCCTGGCCCATATCTCCTGGATTTAGTCTTCAGACTTATTCTATCCTTCCTAGTAAACATTAAGCAAGCTCTTAATATGTACCAGAACCTGCTAAGCACTTGAGACACATTAATTCCTTTTATCTTCACAATGACCCAACGAGATAAGTGTAATATTCTCTCCTATTTAAAAGACAAATATTCAGAGAAGCTATACAACTTTCCCAAGGTGACACAGCAAACGGCAGCACCAGAATTTGAACTCCAGAGCCTATGTTATTAATTGCTAAGGCAGCTTGCCCTGTGGAAGATGCTGCATCTCCATATCCTGCACAGAAAAACTTTCAAAGGACTTACCTGGCTTATTAGTCACCCTAGGCAAGTAACAGTCTACCACTGTAGTTAGCCTGTATGCCCCAAATGCTCAGACCTCAGTCCCTCCATATGAAACTTTGGTTCTCAACTAGGGGGTGATTCTGCTCCTGGGGCATATTTTATAATGTCTGGAGACATTTTTGGTTGTCCTGATTAGGGGGTACTACTGGCATCTAATGGGTAGAGACTAGAGGTGCTGCTAAAAATTGCACAAGACAAACCCCCACAATGAAGAATTATCCAGCCCAAAATGCTAATAGTGCTGAGGTTGAGAAACCCCAAATTAAAACACCTGGCTGGCAAACGTTGAAACTGCAAAACACCACCAGCGGAATATTCCAGATGATTTAGTTTATCTAGAACATCATTCTATGTCTCTCCTCAAATCATTCTATTTTTCTTCTCTCGCCCTGGAATTTCATCGTAATCCTATGTCACTGTGCTAAATGCCTACACTGAATAATAATCTCCTAATGCAACTTTTATATGTTAGCAGCAGCAGAACAAATAAAAAATGGAAAAATTAGCAACAGGCAAAAGAAAAATGAGCCTTAAAATACAAAATAAATCCTTGAGACGTAATCATAATATCTACTACACCAACTGCATGCCTGTAATGTGTGTTCTCTTCCAGATGCCCTAAACCATAATTGTGCTCTGTGCCCGCATCAAACTTTGATTGCCACGAACACCATCTCTGCTAAATACACACGTGACTGCGCCGATTTCATAAAATGATTTTAATAGAAAAGTACAAGATATGAACAAAAATAAATATTATCTCGTTTTTAACTCAGCAAATTGTACACTGCATATAAAACTGGTCTAAGATGCAGTTTTCCTCATCCCTTTTTTAGTTTTGAAATACTGAGACAGCATTTTGATTAAATCTTCTCGATTCAAATTGATACATTTTTGTTTTTAAAAAAAAATCATACCAACCTTTAGTCATTCTACACCCATTTTTTAAAGTTGGCTGACAAAATGATGCTTCACTAAAATACTATCCAATCATCAGATTTAAGTGTAAAGTTTGTTCGAACAGGTAAATTAAATTTCTTTACTATGTTTTAATTCTTACATTGCTGAGTGTTTCCTGTTTTAGAAACTCATTTGATTGTCTTACTTTAAAAACACAGCATCTGTTTTCCACCATTCCATAGAGAGGGGAGACTAAAAAAATACTTTTCTAAAAAAATAAATATTTTAAAAGTACCCTTTACAGTGAGAATGCAGTATTTTAGACTATGCCTTGGTGCATATTTGCATTACGTATATAAAATACGCTTCAAGTTACAGGTACTGTACTGTTACAGTTACTATCTGTCTCTATTTATATTATGGAACGCTCAGTCTTTGGGGACCGTTTTTGCTAATGATCTCTTGGAATCAGCCAGTACCAGTCTATGCTAGAGTGTCATATTCGATAATTCCACTGGCTTAAATAATGTTTTGCAAAACAAATTGAAAATTGGTATTGGCAAAATCGCATGAGAAAAAGGTTTGGGTAGGCGACTATAACATACAGTCAGAAGGTCAGCAGAACAGATAAACTGGACTCAAACTTAAAACAGTCTTCTTTTTACTTGGGCCCATGATTACTATTTTGAACATGACTCTGCTTGCCACTGCCTATATATAAAATTTTTTGTTAATTTTCCTGTATTGGGAAGATCTTGAATGCATTCCAGGATGAAAAGAAAAAAAATATGCTGACACTCCTAAATCGAGTATATGTTTTTGCAATAAAGAACACTGGTCAATATACAACTGAGGAAAAACTGAAACAGATGTTGAGTCCTAGAACCACAAGCGCTTGAATTTGCCCAGAAATGCTATTTTAAACACTCTATATGTTGGTCTACTGTTTTTTTGTGGAATAATGCATTCTTGGCATCCTTAAAAGGTTTCAATATGTTACAAGGTTATCCGGCAAGAAAAAAAGCAAAGGGCTAGCGCATCAATCTGCACAGCGCTGGCGAGACTTCAGTGTACACTTTCAGAAAGCACGAGAACTCATATTAATTGCACTTAACACAACAAACTTTTAGTTTTCAGTGAGTTTTCCTTCTCTGCAGATCGAGGCTTGCTTTTCATGAAATTATTTTCAAAGGGGTTTAGAGACAGTCCACGGTAATTTCAAAAAGAGAGGTACAATAGTTGCAGTGGTAAACACAAATACACTCTTCTTGGACTAAAATTCTGGTCAAGGATAAAAGCATGTGCCTTTTCAGTCTTTCTCTGAGATGTTACAACAGCAACACGCTCTAAAACAATTAAGTTACATGCATAATGCTAAAAGAATGTGAGCAATCCTATAACCAGCTTTAAGCCATCTGCTTGATTTCTTTTTTTGAGGAACATATATAGGAAAAGAGAATTCCCCTTTTGTTCCCTTACACATAGAAATCTTTTGAAGCTTCCAAATAGTTTGGTTTTGTTAAAATTCCCCGCTCTTCTGTTATTCTGACATGTAGTCACCCTAAACTCTCCCTCATGGTTTCTCAAGAAATCTCCACATGAATTATCTGAACGACAATTGAAACCACTTACGAATATACAAGTAACGTTTTATTTTATATTCTATCTTCCATTTGGCATAAGCCTTTCGATGTTTGTTTTTTAAACCAGTGAAATATACAAATCACGCAAGACAGAAATATGTACATTAAAAGTACAGGATAAAGGCCATAGAAGATATACATAATATCTGAATGACGAGTAGAATATTTTACATTAAATAGTTTCTTTTAAAAACTAGGATTGTTAAACTCAACTCTCTTCATAAACATGAATCACTAAAAAGAAACAAAATCTGGTTTAGCAAATAAAAAATTACTTCATGGTTTTTGTATAATAAAAACCAAAAAAGTGACATTTTAAACTAATTAGTGCTTTTTAATTTCAAGATCTTTTGCTTGCAATTCACTGCAACTGAGGGGAAGTGAATATCCTTGTGCAATAAATTAAGAGCCACAGATGGCTGAGGTGATATGAAGGCCACCAAGTCTAGGAGGGTTGCAGGAGATGTGTATCTTTCCAAACTTTTAAAACAACGTAAGTCCGAGATAAGATGGAACTTTTTGGAAAGAGGTGTCCTTGTTTAAAAAATTTAAAAACTAGCTATGTATGTCATGAGCCGGATTTTCCTTAGGGACTCAAATAGGTACTACTAGATCGAACAGGAACAGTGTTCACTCTGCAAGTCGAACTAAGTGAAACGCTGACCGTGCTTCTGAGTTTCAAATCTCTCTTCATTTCCACATCTATGCCGAACAAGTAATGCCCTCTCAAGAAAGTGTACAGAAATGGAGGTTGGAGAAAGAGGGGGAGTGGCAGGGAAGATAAAAGAAATCTTCAAACCAATATGCGTTATCAGTGAGGAAGACCTTCGAGATTCCTCAGAAACGAGGCTGCTTCATGATGCTCAAGGTGGAATCGCAACAGGGCCACAGCCCAAGCTCTACTTGAAATCTTCTGGAAAAATCCCAGTTGGATTGCAATGAAGGACAACAATACTCTAGACTGAGAAATAACCCCAGAGTAAAGCGTAAATCTAAATCAATGGCTGCACTGAGATATAATTATATTTATATTTATATATATGTATATATATATATATGTTATGTACAAAAGACTTTGAGATATCAGGCACCATTAAACCACATTTCCCCCCCCTTATAAATGCAACTGTTCAAGTACACTAGGAACAGTTTCAGGGTACACCTGCAGTATAATAGGAAAAGCTTGAGTGGAGAGTCTAAACACAGGATCATAACAGTGAAATGCTGTAACACCTCTGTGAACTCCATTAGCCAAGTAACATCATTAAAAGAACAAAAGTTTTAGGGGGAAAAAAAATCCCTAAGTAGTAAACCGTTTTCCAAGTGGCGCTCCTAATGGTTCATTTCCTGTCCTGCAATCAAAGGGGACCCAGTGGAGCAGCCTTTGGAAATGTGGCCAGCCTCACCTCCTCCTCCCCACGCAGCAAGGAGGAATCAGACAGGGCTTGGGGTCAAGTGGGAGGGCAGATTTCACTTTTTCCCCTCAAACAGGTTTTCTGCTCTGGTGCAGTACTGAACTGCATGCAATTATCTTGTTGTTTGGGCTGAGGATCTGTAAATGGAATTCATGTATTATTTTTATTATTATCATTTATTAACCAAGTATTCCTAAGAAAATTACAGTATATTTTCCTTTATATTCAAGTCAACCTCCCTTGCCCCTCTCCAAACAAAAAGTCTATAACCCAGAATCATTTGGGGATGCTTTTCCAATTTAATAACCTAATTCCTATAACAGCTTCAAATCACTGTTAATATAGAAGTTTTTAAGTTTTATAATTTCTGGGGCTTTCCTCCCTGCTCCCCAAGTTTCAGTAGCTTTTAGAATAGGACCATCTGCACATGGAATGTTGGAGAAGTATGAGATACATGATATACCTTCTTTTTTCTTTGAGGGATATGAAAGTCCCGCTTTTATATTTTCAATTACGAATTTGAAAATGTTTCAGGCTGGCAGCCCCTGGAAACGGGTAGTGGGGGGGGGAGGGTGTCTCATTTTCTTGTTTGAGTCTCAAGATCTTTCGCCAGAGCATTTACAATTCATTTTGGTCACAGAGGCTGAATCGTGCATAGATTTGGAGCACTGGGTGCTACCTGTCCCATATGACCCCATAGCTGAGAAAAAGAAAACACATTTCCTTTACCTTCTGGATGTGCACACAAGCTAGAGTATGTGTTATTTCCCCCTCATCTTATACCATCAAAAGAAGTCTTGTCTTACCTTTTCAAAGACCCACAAATAAATATTTTTCTTGGTTCCCACCCCCCATTTTTGCCAAATAATAATTATAATATTAATAATAAACCACAGAGTTCTTAGATGGGAACAGAAAAAAATGGTTCCGGTTGCAATTCTTGAGGGAAAATAAAACAATATTAAAAAAAAAAACCCAAAAAACACAGAATCATTGTACTTTCTATAAATAAGTGGGTCCTGGGAACGGGGCTGAGTGGCAGGCGGGCAGCGGGCGCCCACTATTTGCACACAAACTGGTCCACAATCTCCGTGCACTTCTTGCACTTGACGTAGCAACACCAGTGGAATTTGCAGTGGCAGCGCTCCGTCTGCACGGTCTTGAACTGGTCATAGCCACGGCCACAGCACATGAGCTCGCAGCCGTCCATGCCCTCGGACGTCTTGTTGCACAGGCGGCCTTGTGTGCCCAGTGAGCCCGTGCTCTCATTGCGCACGCAGTAGTCAGGGCTGGGGTCGATGTAGACCAGGTCCTGCGTGGTGGGCGAGTTGAAGCGGCTGTTGACTTGCACCAGCTTGCCTCTGCCGTTCAGCCGCATGGCCGCAGCACTGTCATACTTCTCCTTTAGGGCGTCGCCCACCTTGCGGAAGTCTGCCAGCTGCAGCCAGCACGTCTTGAGGCTACACGAGCCGGACACCCCGTGGCACTTGCAGGCCACGTCAGCCAGGTTGTAAACCGTCTGTGGGGAGAAGGGGACAGTCAGTGTACAAACACAAGGAGGAGCCCAGACCCAGGTGGGGTTTTGTTTACAGAGCCCCGCTGCACCTTCTAGATGGAGCCATGTTCACCAGCTAAACTAGGGGTGGGCTATTTCCTCTTCATTCTCCACTACCAGAAGTCTGTGTTGCTTTCTTTTAAAAGTCTACCAAATAAGTATGTTCTCAGCCCCTCATTATTACACATCATCATAATAAACAACCACAAGTTTTTAATAGGAACAGGAATAAAACCACTTCAATTACTTCTGTTTTGCAGGGAAACAATATTAGCACCGACTGATACATCTTGAACACGCATCCCAGAGATTGTGCACACCACCTGGATTAGTCCCCACAACCAACCTAGGAGGGAAGTGCTAGTATCATCCCCATTTCACAGAGAAGGAAAGTGAGGCCCAGAGAGGTAAGTTACTTACCAAATACTTGGAAGTAGGGATGCCAGAATTTGAACCCAGGCAGTTTGTCCCAGCTCATGCTCAGTGATTTGCCCACGGGCACCCAGCTGGTAAGTGGTAAAGCTGGGAGGGGTCTCAGCCCAGGTAGGATCAGGGCTCAAATCTTTACTCACTATTACTATTACTATGATTGCTATGTGCCAGGCACTATCATAAAAGCCTTTACACACTTTATCTCATTTCATCCTCTCACCGAAGTCATAACATGAGCTGGATTAGATGATGGCACAGTGACACAGAAAGGATAAGTGGCCTGCGCAGGTCGCACAGCTAGAATGTGGGAGAACTGGGCCTGGATCTTAGGTGTATTCTGCCTCTCGTTTCCCAAATAATCCTTGCTCCCTATCCTCACTGTCTAGGCTAAGAGTGCCCGCCCTCGACATAGGTTATGTCCTGACTCTGCCCCTGAATACGGACAGCTGGCTTCACCTCTCTGGGCCTCTGATTTCCATCTCTGAAGGGGATTGTGATTTCATCATTCTCACAGCACTATTATAGGATAAAATTAGAGGATGCATGGAAAGTATGTAGCATTCAGGATGCAATCAGTAAATCTGGTCTTTCTCCAGGGTGATAAGGGCATGGCGTCTGGGTGCTGGTCCTGGGCCCTTGCGTAGCCGCCTTGGCCTCCAGGAGCAGTGCCCGTGGGTCTGGCCCCACAGCACTGTACCCAGCAGTCTAAAAGGTAGTGACTGCCTATTTATAGTTCTGATGGCCCACAGTTCCTGAACCAGTTACCCTCCAGAGTTGGCATGGTATTGGCAGGTCAAAGAAGGCCTGTCAGGAACCCGGACGCTGAGTGAATTAGAAGGCTGCTTCCACACAGATCAACTACCTTCTTCCTCTGAGGATTCAGAAGGGACTTTCTTACAAAGAGGGCCAAAGTATATTCCCTTGGCATAAAGAGTTTCAGGCAAGCAGCTAGTCTGAGGAAGGGTTTTGCAAACATATTTAACCTTTACCCCCTCTTTGAGGAAAATAAAAAGCTAATGTCCTGAGGAGATTCTACTATGATTTCCTGGCACAGTGTCCAACTTCCCTTCCCCACCCCCACTATCCTGGAGAAAAACTGTCTTCTATGTAACCTCATCCGCCAGGATCCAAGCTCAGCTCACTGCTTGAATTATAAAACTTATGAGAAAAAAAAATTCAATATTAAAAAAAAATGCAGATGTTAAATGAAATTATAATATTAAAGATGCTCTTCCAAGTCTCCAAAATCCCCTTTCCTCACTTGGAAATCCCTTGCCCCTCTCTCCTTGGTTGCTAATCCCCTGATGATTTCTTTACATGAGAGAAGTCTAAGAAATCCTTAAAGATAGAGGAAAGCGCCAAATATGGGCACAACGGGGCCCATAGGAGTCAGCCACATCTCTAACCTAGAGGCATGTCTGGTTTGAGGCACTGGGCACACTGTATGCAGAGAGTAAAGGGATGTGTCCCTAATGAGGACAGAAGCAAGGCCTTCTGGGCTCCCAGAGAGAGTGAAGCTAACATGCCCATTGCATGGCCCTGGGTCAGCCACAGTGAGGAGAGTCCACCCACACTGCAGGCGCCATAGCAGGGGGAGGCCTGAGAACTGAGAGCCTGCACTCCCTCTGGAGCAATTATCTGACTCCTCAGGGCAGCAGAGGCAAAATACTGCAGAGTTCGGTCCTTCCCCAACGCCACCAAATGTTTAACATCAAATTTGAGAAGCTAAGTTATCTGGAATTATCTAGATAATCTTTGACTTCTCTATGTCTTTTACTTCATAATGTTTAGTAATTATCATTTATCAAGCACTTTCCTAATGGGAGACACTAAACTAGGACCTTCGATTGAACCACATGAAATTGTTAACTTTGTAGGTCAAAAATATATTGGTAATTTTGCATGGCTTAACCTACTATGCGATCCCTGTTAGTGCTCTCAATAACCCCAAGAGATAGTTAATGCCATTTAACAGATGTGGAAATGTGGAAACTGAGGCTCAGAAACAGAAAGGAACAGACAGAACTGGATTTTAACCTAGATTTCCCTAATTTCAAAACCTATAGTCCTTCATCCCTAAACTGTGATATATGCATGAGATTAATTTTTAAAAGTGCCTGGCTTGTACCTCACTTCATTAAATGTCTTCCACGGCCATGAAGTGGTTCTCTGGGCCTCAGTTTCCCTATCTTTAAAATGAGAGTGTGCAGCCAGAAAGTTCTAAGGCTCCTTCCAGTATTGGATATTTTACTTGGTGATTATCTTCCCTTTTCCTCACCCTAAAATACAGAAGAGTGAAATCTCTGACCAGAAAGTTCCTGGCACCTACATTGGGTTCTGTGAAAAAATAATGGCCCTGGTTTTCATTGCTGCCAAAGTTAAGAAAAGTTTTCACCCCTTCATTTTAGAGCAGCCATAAAGTGCCATGTGCTTAACCACAGGGGAGGAAGAAGGGTCTTTTGAACTACTATGGAGCAGCATTTCATAGCCCCACGAGGGGAAGGAAAGAGCAGAATGGGGACACTCAGGAGGTCTTAAACGAAGGTCCTCTCTGGGCATTTGTGAGCGGCTCTCTCATCTCTCCAGAGCCACCCACAACTGGCATGATGGTCAGACTTCCAAAAATGCTGTAGTTTTCCTAGAAAAGCTCTTAAAAAAAAAAAAAAAAAAAAGCCCTTGGTCTATCAGGCCTGCTATCTAGTGACATAAGAAAGAGAAAGGACTGAGCCGGAAAAGATAAGTCTTAGAAGCTAGGGAGAGGGCTTTCTCATCTGGGCACCATGGGAATAAAAAACTCCCTCTCCCAATTTTCAGTCCAACAACAAACATATTCCAGGGACGAGGGCAAACATTAATATTTTTACTTCTGGCCTGGGCCGGCTAATTGCACTGAGAACTAATTAAAAAGGGATAGAAAGATCTTTCTTGGGCAACTGCAGGAGCACCTTGGCTGGAGCGGGCCAAGGCAGGATGATTCGCCCCCAGGAGGTCTTTCAGGAGTGTGTGACCCTCTCCATAAAGGCTGTGGCCTACGTGTGTGGAGGTGGGGGGTTGGAAATAAAGGAGAAAGTGAGAGAGAAAGAGACAAACAGGAAGAGTGGGAAAGAGACCTGAAAAGATAGAAAGAGGGGTGAAGACAGAGAGGGAGACCGAGATGCCGCAGAGAGATAGAAAAGGGGAAAGGAAACTGTAGAGGGTAGGGTTGGAAGAGGGAGGGGTAGAGAGACAAGAAGAGGCCCAGCGTGGTTAAGGGAACGAGAGTCGGGGATGGAGACACGACTGGGGCACTCACCCTGCGGCCAGCCTCGTTGTTGTGCAGGTTCATGAGGATGCGCGCGCTCTCGTATGAGCCCTTGGCGTGGATGCGCTCTCGCTCGCGCGCGTCCACGAACTCCTTCGCGAAGCGGTAGCCGTAGTCGATGTTGTCTCCGCAGCCGCCCCACAGCCAGTCCCGCGGCAGGTCCTTGGGGCGCGCCGCGCGGCTGCAGCCGCAGGTGGACAGCTCGCCCTCGCGGCACGCGCGGCTCATGGCGTTGACCACCCCCGCGGCGCTCACCGCGTACGTGAAGGCCGTCTCGCGGCTGCCTGCAGGCGAGGACGCAGGTCACCGGGGCCCGCTGCGGAGGGGACAGGAAGAGCCCCCGACACACAGCAGGCCCAGCAGCCCCTGGCCCTGTGAGGGGTGCGGGTGGAGGTGAGGACAGAGGAAAGCCTGCTCGCACACGTGCTGTCCCGGGCGGGGCCTTCCCAGGATGGGAAACATCCCTAACTTAAATCCAGGCCCTGCGCCCACCTGGAAGGGAAGCCGAGAGACATCCCCCAAACCTACAGAAGCAACAAATGACAAAGGATTAAGTAGCACATCCCTGATATCTCTGCTCTGACATTTCAGAGCCTAAGGCAGGATCCTAGGCAGTGCTGGACTGATTTTCTCTATAACCCTTTTGAAGATATTGGAAACATTTCCAAAAATGCACAAGAAAGAAGTCGCTGAGGAAAAAGCCAGAATTTGGGTTAACTTCCTTACACTTATTTTAATGTTTGAATTATTTTCATTTTGAGTTACATATAAGGCAGAGGGAGCATAGAATTTGCTAGGCTTAGAGCCTCGGAAAGTCTGAGTTCCCAATGGAACCTAGACACTACAGCAGCCACGCTTGTGGCGGGACTAGTTCTAGCCTAGCTTCGCCCTCCTCCTCCTGCAATGTAACCACCACCACCACCACCACCACCTCCTGCTCCCAGCTCCATCATGCATAATGAAATCTGTCTCAGGACAAGGCTCTTGACTTTCCCAGTGGACATTTCTAAACCTTCCTAGAGAGTTGTAAATGAAATTTTCCTCTTCTTAAATCCCAAGCAGACTGGACTGATACTTCTTATTCAAGAGGATGAGTGTCTACCTTTAAAACAGCCTGCTGGTTCTGGGATAAATAACTCCTTCTCCCAAAATAAAAGCCTTTCGAGTATCACTTCTGCAACTCCCTGACAGCCTGTGCCTCAAAGTATTAGAATAATAGCAAGTAGGGGAAAAGCACAATCTAAAGGGAAGAGAGAAAAAAAAAAAAGCTTCTTCCTTCCCCAAACTTGTAAAGAATATGCAAACCTAGGGGAAAAAAGTTTTCTCCTTCCCTAAAACTCATAAAGACTATATCTCCTTGTAAAACAGTTATATCGAGGAGCTCTATTTGTAAGGAGAAAAATGGAGGTAATCACAGACCACCTTAATCTCCACTTGTACTTGAAGACTTTTCTACATGTAACAAGAAGCCACTTAATAAAAATGTACTATGAAAGAGAAAGGGTTAACACCAAGCCAGCTGAAGCTGGGCCTAGGGGTGGGATGAGGAGGGCCTCACTTTCCTCAACTGTAAAATAAGGGTACTGAACTAGATGCCTAGGAAAAACAGGCCCCTTCTGGCACTAGAATCCCTGTACCAGAATCAGTTTCTCCTATACTTAAAAAACTTGCTAACTATCAATTTTTTTGTGGGGTGGAAGGACGGGGGTGACATAAGAACGGCTGACAATCAGCCTCAGCCCCAGCCAGGCCCACTCTCTGCAGGAGGATGGCTATGCCAATGCAAGGATCCAGCAGGCTGTCCTTTTCTCGGACTTCCACTCCACACTTCAGTCTACAACCATCTGTAATCCCTCTTCTAGGAATGGCGATGTTTCCGATTTACCACAGACCTTCCCTCTCACATTTTAAAAAATGAATAACTTAAGGTGTCAGCTGGTGGTTGGCAGGAGAATCCAGAAAGTTCCCGTGGGGTGTAACATCTATCTTGCTCAAATTAGAGAGGCATAGAACATGCGGGGAGTGGAGAGAAATGAGGAGGGCAGACAGATTCTAGGGAGTTATTTGGGGATTAACACTGATAATACAGAAAACACTGTGGCCCTGGATGGAAGACTTGTAGAATAAAGAGGTAGCTAGAAGAGGAGGAGATAAACAATCCTCTGGAGATAGAGGAAAATAAGACACTGTCCTATGAGTATACAGGGCATAAAAGAGCTTTTATACAAAACACAACAATGCTGCTTGTTTCATAAGTCTATCTTAAGCATTTCCTTTTTTGCCCCAGAATACAAACCTGGTAGAAGTCTCTAAACTAATTGGTCACTGCGGGGAAAACATCAGTATGAAAAGTGCTCTTTGGCTAATAGCCTGTGTGACAGTCATCCTGGATGGAATACTGCTGGTTCAGTTAGGTTTTCCTCCCTGTGAATCTACATCCTCTCTGATCCTCACACTCCTTAAAAATGGCGCCTTTCTGACATATCTTTTCACAGCATGGAAACAAAGAAGAGACAGAGACAAAAGCTGGAAGAAAGGGTAGCATGATGAAAAATGAGAAAGTTTCCAAAATGAAGAGTGGGCCCTTCATGAGGCGATTGTGTACAGTGCCTCCAAGGCAATTGGCACCCTAGAAAAATGAGTTGAGGAGGGGTTGGAAGTGGCAGCCCTGAGTTTCTCAGACTCTGGCCCCATCACAGGGTCAGATTCTCACGGACAAGAATTGCTCTCCATGTCCTTGGTGTTCTGAGTGCTTTGGAGTACACACACACACACACACACACACACACACACACACACACTACCTTTCAAAATGTTCCCTTAGCACATGCTCTTCAAAGATACCCTTAAATAGAAAAGTGAAAGCTAAGTAACTTTCCCACTATTGGGGTTGGGTTCATGTTCCTCTTCCACAAAAAGCTGTTCTGGTTTTTCTTCTCTTCAACTATTTTTTAAATAAATAAAAAAAGACAAGGCCCTGTCAGTGTTCCACCACAAGCCACCCAGCAGCAGCTTTCTGCCCTGAGACCTCAGGCACCTGGGGAACTTTTGGCAAGAGATGCAGCAAGTGTCCTCACCTTCCCAGGACAGCAGCTGACTTGATAGAATTTAGAAGGGCTCCCTCAAAGGCTGTCAGGAGGTTCTACTCCCACCCACTTCCCATCAACCCAGACCGTAGTACCACACAGCTGAGGACCAGAGAGTATACTGGCAAGGGACAATTAAACATAGGCCTTTGTACCAAGGGTTCTGCTTGTTCCCTAAGGAAGTAGGCTCTTTGAATCTTGGACCACATTTTAAATAAATCTCCAGCAGAACTCAAATCCACTTAGCAAATGATAGCTTATTCTGAACATTTCGGGCCAAAACAGGCTACGTATAAAGACAAGAAGAGGATCTTAAATCAAAGCTGTGTTCCAGTGACTACACAGAAAAAGAGTTCAATTGCTGTTTTCCTTTCTGGTTACCATCAGAGGTGTAGGATTTTTGCACACTCCTATACTTGTGAAAAAGTAGCTCCATAATTTGAAAGGAAGGCAGGATACATAGGGGGGATACATAAAGCAAACGTGAGGGGGTAAAGCTGACAACTTACTATTCTGATATAACTTAAAAAAAAGGTTTTCTCTCACTCACAGTATCAAAATGCAGGGGAATTAAATCCTCACCACACCCCCAGTTAACTACATAAGGCAGCCTATATTCAGGGAAAACTCCTGAAGCTTAACTCCTAGATTCCGATCCCAGTATATATACATTAGCACATTTTAATCATTAACAGGAAGGACAAAGCCCTATGAAACTTTGCAGGCTGAGGCTGCAGACCATTTTCCCATTCAATTAGAAGAACGGCTTCCAGTCCTGTATTATTTTAGTTTATGAAGCCGCTTGGCTCAAACATCCACTGACAACTCTTTTTTGTTCTCAATGAATACACTTTTCAGGGTTTTTTAAAAAGCATTTTATCCATCCGTGACGGATATTAAGCCAACTTTTTTTCTTCAGTCAGTATAAACAGTTAATTGCTTTGATAAATTGCTTCTTATTTTAGGAGTCACTGCAGTCATATTAATTATAAGGGCTTGTTTGCATAAAAGTAAAGAGACCTAAAATTTCACACTAGAAAACACACACAGGACCACATCTGTCAGATAGTATCCTATGCTATTAAACCAAACCAGAGACAAACTGAGTTTTCAAATTCTTTGCCTTTAGCCCAGTTTTAATGCCATCTTCTCCCTGAATGGAATAACAAGTTCAACAACACATTTAAAATAAAGAATCGGTCTGTAGTGATACATTTAAAGTTTTTTGTTTTTTTTTTTTTTAAGTTTCTAGGTTAAGGTCTGAAGCATGTGCTTTTATATCAATTGCCAAAATCGCAAATGTAAATTGGATCACTTCTAATTAAAATTCTTTCTGGGACTAAAAATAAAGCTCTTAACGTATATATCTTTATAACCTCAGGGAATATCTATATTAGGAAAATTAGAACCTTATTCACTTCCAACCTATCTAGCATTCTGAAAGAGGACAATTTTTAGTTTGCTTCTTGGGACATTTGAATTATGGCTTAAGTTGGGACCCTTCTTACAGTTAAAAAGAGTTCTGAAGTTTAAAAGAACATAAATGACTCAGCTTTCCTCATCTACTTTTGAGAAACAAAAATAAGTGTGCTGCTTCTATTTTAAACAAAATGTTTCTTAGAAAAATTAAGTGTTCAGAAAAACGAAGGAGACTTTGATGCTCCCCTCCTGGTTTGGTTAAAGAAGTCCAAAACAACGTATAATCAGTGTGGGAACAGGAATTAACACCGGTAGCAATAGTGACAAAAATTCCCAAGCAATTACCCTGCTAGAAGATTCCCTCCTTGTCAAGCTGGTCAGTAAATACTAAGGACTTTTTCTAGGAAAAAAGTGTATATATATATTTAAAAATATGTTAAACAGTTTCCTACCTATCTGCATAACCCTGCCAAAAACGGAGGTGTTATCTACGGTGCTGCAGTTCCATCTCCGATGTCGGAATTGATACTGGCATTCTTTGATGCCTGTCTTCGCGCCTTCTCCAATGTACTGCATGTGGTCCTGGTACAAGTGGCATAATTTCTTCTGTCCTTGAGAAAGTCCCGCCAGTTGGCTGCAGAGAGGCTGTGCTCCTATGATATATACTTCTGACATCTGAACAGGGTTATTCATACCTAGCGACCTGAAAAGGGGGGGAGATGTGCATTCAAGATTTACGTGAACCCTCGAGGTAGGCCCCCTGAAAGCATGTCAGCAAGACATAGTTTCAAGCACACAGATGCTTTTTCTCTGCTCCTTGTCCTCATGACAAAGTATGAGAAGGGCTTCATAAAACTCCTCTGTTTAACTCCACTCAGAAAACGGAGGTATTGTGTAGTCCCCATTCCGCCATCTGGCTCCTCAGAGTTTTTATTCCCTTCCTTGCCCCCACTGCCATATACCTAAACCAATATTTCCGAAATCCACTCAGAAAAAGAGGGAAACAGCGGTTTTGAGGACAAGCCTCTGACCTTAAGAGAAAGTGACTCATTTTGTCCCACAAATTGGACTGATCTGCCTTAAAAATGTATGAATGCCGAAAGTAGACACAATTAGACACGGGTAGGAGATAGGAGTTCCCTTTGACTGATGGAAGAACAGTGGGACAAGTATATAGACTAAAGAAAATTCTCCATACTCTGAACATTTTAAAAGGGCTCCTTATGTGATTGTGAAAGACCTAAGACAGGGTATCCAGTGACCAGAAGTCATGTTTGACAATCAAAAAAACACTATTCATTTACAGGGAAAAACTATCCAGAACGCCGTCAAGAATAATCCTCTGGATATACTGCAGCCTATCTACAAGGCCCCTACTAGAAAGAAATCCTCGTTTAGGGACATTTGACTACTTCAAGTTCACTTTTTTTCTTTTAAATCAAATTTCGAGCCCAAATATTTCTCCACTTGGAGTCGAGCTGTGTTCCTAGAATTCTGCCTACATCAGACCCTGAAGGTTAATAACCTCAAGTGACAGAAAGATAAAAAGCTGAAACTCACTTTTACTACCTAGAGGTGGCAGAAAGTAAATTTTATAGATAGGCTTACAATTATTAGAGAAGTGAATTTTGGTTCCCTTTTATTATATGATGTACTACAAGCATACATCTGAACAAGGGCCTCATAGAAAAAGGTGTAGATTTATAGGTTCTGATTCCCTATGGAGCTAAAGATAAGCTTTACGATATTAGCAAATTCAATGGAAATTCTGATTTAAAGATATATATAAATAAAATGTTATATGTGTGTTAGATAAATGCACCAAAACTCAAAATTCAGTTTTAAATATTCCAGCATCATACAAATGAATCTTTTTAAAAATAAAATAAAATATGTACATAGAATGAACTTACCACCAAGAATTGGCTTCTATTACAACCTGGGCGAAGGAGGAAAATATGGCCAAAGCCATTAGGAAGAACTTGGAAGACATTGCACTTCCAGCCGTCCCCAAAGCAACTCCTGGGCTTAATATTCCAATCGACTTCTGGAGAGGGAAGAAAGGAGCAGATGTTTATTGCCTCTCAGATAATTTTCAAGCATACAAGTTTAAACAACGGAAGCATCCGGGTCTCTGAAGTTTACTGTTGATTGACTGCGCTTCTCCTCCGTGAGTTTTTTTGATGGCAAGATATAGGCAGTTTCTTTTTCCAAATTAATCCACCCACGCAACCTCACCAGGAAATCTGATTTCGCTGGGATCCTGTGCGCGGGGCACGCCAGCGATTACAAACATGTCTCAATGCTGTTGAGTAAAAACCCCGGTGCCAGGCGCTGCCTCCTTCCTGCTTGCTCGCGTCCCGCACCCCCTCGCTCCCCTCTAGTTTGCGTTGTGCTGGGTCCCTCCACCGGAATTCACTTGGGAACCCGCCGCCACCCTCGTCCTCTCCCCGACCTGGGCCGAGCAACAAGTGGAGCCGGAATTAATTCCATGGGCAAGAGGAGCGCGAAGGCGAGTGGAGCGCGCGCCGCGGGCGGCTGTGGAGGAGGCGGGGGGGCCGGCGCGGGGGGGGTGGGTGGGGGCAG